TAACTGCTTCTCTTTTATACCATTTAAGCGATCACTTTTTATGTTCACTCTGCCAGTTCTTCAGACCTTGCTTATTTGTAATATATCATGATTTTGCATTACAACAATAATTACCTGACAAGTGTTAACAACATACATACACTTAGTATATAAACCAGTTTAAAAATGTATTTAACTGAGAAAGAAGCTTATATGGTACAGAAGTCAATAGCCTCATTTTAAAAAAAAAATAATATACAGTTTTCCTTGTATTGTTCATCATTCTGCTACACTGCATATTCTCATATGTGGTAGAGGACCTTGTGTGATGTTCTTCTGCTTTTTGTAACTATCTTCAATTTTTCTAAGTATTCATGAAATATGTGTGTTTCCGAAGAGATTTACAGTTAGCCATGCTGTGCATCCGTGCTGACGCCCACCACCAATTTCCCTTTAAATGCCGAGAACAGCCACTAGTTTATGTACACATGGAGTGGTGTCCACCTTTTGAGAGATTGCTTTTTATCACTCTTAAAATTTTGATTGAAGTCTGAGAGTAACAAATGACCACACACTTTCTATGTTTGCTTCTGTTTGTCAAAAAAATGCTGATATTTCTACGGTCACCTCCCTTTACCTTTTGCATCAGTAAATCAGGAGATATTCTTCATAGAGGGCTAGATGCCTTAATAAAACATGATTAACTTAGTTTTACTTGTTGGCAAATACATTCTTACTAAATTGCCAAGATTGAGTTTGAATTAACCCCAGTCCACAGATATTCTCAGAGAAAGCTCAAATATCAGCTTGGTTTATTCAGTGCTTTTTTCTCCTACAGAGGCACTCGGAAAGAGAAATGTCCTTTGATTGCTCCAGAGCACCAAGGCTCCTGTGGTATCTGTTACATCAATGATAATGGTTTATATGTTTCTGATTAAATCGGGTTAAAAGAGACATTAATATCCAAGGAATAACAAACAGCAGAGTGTGGAGAGTTTAACATAACCACAAAATGCACCATTGCATATTTCAGGCAAAATGACAAAAATAGTCTTTTGGAAAAGTTGATATCTAATCTGTTAAGAAGTCCAGTTTAATTTCAAAAGAAAATCACACAATTTCCTGATCCAGACTTCTCATCCATGCAGTGGGAGCATTTGATCTGACCCGCATAACCATTCTCCTTGGGAATAGTGGCTATGAAACAAGATACCTCAATAACCATAAAGACTTTATTTACACAAAAAATTACTGCTCGAGAAATGAAGTGAGTGGAACATATACACGTCTGTACAGAAATTTTTCCTATGGATTGTGTTATTTTTGCAAGAAAAAGCAGTACTTGTATGATAAATGCTAAAGAATCGTATCTCTTGCCATGAAAAGGGTTGACTATATAAAGTCTCCCATTATTGCTGCTGGGAAACATATTCTACATACTCACAAATGCTTTCAGAGAAATCTATAGCAAAATATGCCTTTCATTATTTTATGTATGATTGAAAAACATGAGTAAAGCAAAAATGTTTATGTTCTGCATAAAAGAATGGTTTATTTTTTTCAAGCAAAAAATAGGTGATATATTGAATATTATCTTTTAAAAAAGAAAGGAAACTAAAGTAGGAGCCAGTGAACTTAGCAGGGTCAGTTTAGAAAGTCATTTAATCTCTTTCAGTTTTGCCTACCAAATAGTGTAGCTTTACAGATGATATGTAGATAGAAAAAGGTTCTTTGAAAAAATGAAGTGAAGTAAATTCAAGGTAGTATTTCTTCTGTTGTTACTCTACGAAAGTGAACCATTAGAAATCTGATGCCAAATGTGGGCATACACCCAGATGTATAACACAGCTCTTTGAAACTTTCACTCTGGATAATACATCTTTTGTGTTTTACTGGTATCATGCACTACACTGCACTTTAAAAAGGATACACTGGGCTCCGTAACAGGACTTTTAATGCTGTAAAAGTAAATGTCAGACTTTATGGCTGCTTAAGGACTATATTGATAACTTCTACAGAGTACTTTTTAAAAATTTAGTTCCTTGTAACTTACTCATCATTTGATAACTGTCATACATTCAGGGTATAAGGAAAATGTTTCTCTATCCCTGCTTCATGAGACCATGAAGAGCCTTATGGCAATAAAGTAAGAGCTAGTTTTGGGCAGAGATTTTTCTTTGTGGGGTTCACTTCGTATTTCGAATGACTATAGTGGCTGCATTAGCGAACAAGCATTGATTAAATGAAACATTAACATTAGTTTTCTAATTCATTTTTTTCCTTATTAGTAGGGTTTACAGTACATAGTGATTACATTCACTGTGGGGAATTGTTACATGTACATAACACATTTCAAATTTATTTAAAAACATTGATTTGATGTTTATGTATCCATTTTTATAACTCTTAGAGTTTATGAGAGAGAGACAGAGACAGCCAGACAAACAAGCCGACAGATATCTTTTAATATAAGCATCATTGTGGCATCAAAAAAGGCAGTTACTTCTATCTGAAAAGGTCCTGAGTAGATTACAGATGGCATCTGAGAATAGGATAAAATTTGGTTGAGGAAAATAATCAAATATTAATGGCGGAAACAATCAAATAATCAAATATTAATGGGGGGAATTGTTGGGTCATTTGCATAGCTGCCTTTGTGTCTCAGTAGCAAAGCACTGGCCATCTTTTTTGAAACTGTCTTTTCAGGATGTTGATCTAGAAAACAGACTTGGAAGCAGCAGACAGTGTCTTCATCCAGAGCAAACGCAGGCATGCTTACTGTCCTGGATGAATTCTATGTCCCTGCATGTGCTCACACGTGTGCCAGCTCCCCTGGCTGCCCTCCAGGGTTTGGCCTTCAGATTTAGCACACATCAGTTGACTATGAGCCCTTTCTTGGTAACCTGTAGCCTCTCCTCAGGCACTGCTCTCTCAGTAGTGATGTTTCTAAAGAGCTTTGTACACACAAGTAATGCTCAGTGGAAAAATCCACTTAGATGGTGCACAAACACATGCAATTCAGTGATTTCAAACTGAGTGCTGTTTCTCCATCAGAATATAGTTATCCTCAGGTATACTATTCTTTACCTTCTCTCTTACTACTTATATCAGTTGGTCCATTTATTATTAGCTATATGTGAGTGTGTACTAACAAAATAGTACACAGCACATGGGCTGAAATCTACAATTATTTGCTTATTATGTGTTTTCTTTAGTCACAGTGTAATTCAAATTGTCGAGAAAGACTAATAGTAAAAACAGATTTGAGAAGATTCTAAAATCATATCAAATAAGCACCTCTGAAATGGTCGCAGTTGTTCAGTTTCTTCCTACTCTTAGTGAATGAGGCTAGTTATATTGCATTACTGCAAAAGAAGGTAGTTAGCTCTTTAATTGTCTTAGACACCTCATTATGACCTTAAAAACTCTGTTTTCCTTCTTTGGGTAAACACTGCCATCCACTAAAGGATTATTCTTTGTCCATGTATGCTGCAAGTTAATTGCTTCTGAAAATACAGTTTCGGGGGAAACAGTTACTGATAATAAAACCACATGGCTTAAAATTGCATTGTTTCTGTTTGATTTCTGTCTTCTAGTACTGGAGATAGCAACAAAAAAGAGTACGTTTCTCTCATTCACTACATCTTCCTGTGCTCTGTCTTTTCCTAATACCTGGTATTACACCACTCAATAATTAGGCATGATTAATACCATGTTAAGGTTTGCTATCCAAAACAACCTGATACCCAGAGACCTGTGCTCCCTTCTGAACCCTACCTCTAAGTCAATTCCATGCACCACAATCAGAGCAGAAGGTGCACAAGAATACTTTTCTTTGATAATTTTTAAATGCAATGCCCATTTATGGGAATTGTGGAGGATAACTTGCTAATATTTTATCAGGGACCATCTGGGCTCTTTCGCTGAATTAGCACAGAAGCTAGTAAAGCCAGTAGCAACTTGAAACTCTAAAAGGGCCAGTGAGCTTTCTCCTGTATCATAGACGCAAATGAGGTTTCTCATTTGAAATGGTCACCTCGCCAGCATAAGCCAGTGACTGCTTACAAGCACAAAGTGAGACAGTATGAATTTGTCAGCTTGAATTTATTATTTCTGATGAAAAGCAGAACAAAAAAATTTAGTGCACAGGTCCTGCGGATCTGGGTTGAATCTATCAGCTATCCATTTGAAGAACTTGTTGATGGGTTACCAACACTGCTCAGACAGATGAGGACATTGTAGGTCCAGTCTGAAAAGATTTGTCTTACTGCTGATTTACACTGTGATAGAAATTTAGAATATCTGTAGTAACCTTTTTATTAGGTACATCTAGAAAGCAAATGCATCCTAAACGAGGTCCATAGCCACCTAGTCTAGTGACAAGTTTCTGGAGTCCAGACCATTTGCCACCATCAATACAGACCAAAGTCCTACCCTGGACTAAAGCAAATCTGCCCAGGAGATACCAAAGGTAACGTCCTGCTAGGTGTGTGTCACCAGCAAGAATCTTTTGGGTGGTAGCTGTAACATTTGATGCAGAATAGAAGCAAGCAACACACTTTTTCTTTAGCCTCAGCTTTTTGAGCATAAGCCTGAATACCAGCTGCACATGCATTCAGAACACAGTGTGACTTCTCATGTGACTCCTTGTGGCAGTAGGCTATAAGTAGAGATTAATTTTCAAAACAGTAAACTAACAATACAATTTTATAAACATGTACCGAATTATTCAACAGGTTAGATGCTGAGTAAATTACCTGCTTCACAATTATGTTTGTAGGAATTATTAGAATTTAAATCATGGCTATACTGAATAGCACTGAGGTAAAAAATGATTTAGTGTATATTACAAAAACTATAAATACAGTGTTTGGAGTATATCATTGTGTTGATTTTTTTTTTTTTTACTCTTTTAAATTTCTGGTTAAGAATTTATTTAATTTTATTTGACTTTTGCAATAATCCAGTCTGGCAATCTGAAATGTATCTGTTTCTCTTGTCTTTATTGTTTTACATTTCAGGAATCAGGCCAGTTACCTGAACTCCCCAAGTATGTTAAAGTAGTAGAAGTTGGGCCTAGAGATGGGCTGCAGAATGAAAGGGTAGGTTTATTCTAACTTTACAGAGTGCATTTCAAATGCTCAGTCTAAATATTAGTTTTTTATAAGATTTTAAAGGCATGTGGATTTTATTTTATATCAGTATGCTTGCTATTTAATTTATAAATCCTATTTGCTTCCAGTTAGGAACTATTTTCATTTTTGCTTTAATCGATCCTATATGACTTATAAATCAACTTTTTATGTTTTTATAGGTTATAGTTCCTACAGATATAAAAATCGAATTTATCAATCAACTTTCCCAAACTGGCTTGTCTGTAATAGAAGTAACCAGCTTTGTGTCCTCCCGATGGGTCCCACAGGTATTTAAATCCATAACTCCATAATTACATTCTTCATTTAATGAGAACCAGCGAACACTGAGATATGTATTGTGATACTAATGTGATATAATTACGAACTGTTAGGGCATGCACTGATATAATTAAAGAAAATCTCACTTGATGAAATGTCTTATACAAATTGAGTCCTCAAATGTAACTTGGAACTCTGCATTAATCTGATGTGATGTGTCAGTATAATAACTTGAGGATATGTCTGTTAGAAACAATTTCAGAGCCTGCCTTCCATTTTCTGTTTTATGAAAGATTTCAAATCTGGACTTTTCCAAGTGATTTAATGGTTTTAAAGAGACGGGATGATTAAGTGGGCTGTCATCATCCCCTAAGGAATTTCACATAAAAGAGTGAAAATGTAGAGGTGCAGTCTCTCTGCTTTGTTTCTTTTAGCGCTTATATTTGCTAATGGTGAAGTAAAGGTAATCATCTGCAATCTACTTTTGAAAAATCGCAAGATCATAGAACTGTGTGCAGAGTTTTCAGGTGTTTGGCAACAGTGAAAGATTCTGAGAAGATTCTAGTTTTGTAAGAATGCTTAGCAATTAGCAATTGGCAGCCATTACAACCTTTTCCTTCTGTAGCCTGGTCCCCAGTTTTGGGAGGTGAATTCCTCAGCCTCTCCCCAGCACTTAATTTTGCTGATTAGTTTGCCTTCATTCTCTGTGTTTCCATTATTCCCTACTGTCCTGATTTGGTTACTTTATGTCACCCGTAACATAACCATCATTTCATAACCACCAAGTGTAACATTCCCTCATAATGCAGTTCTTCACTGTTGTGACTTGTGTCTAGATGCCTCCCAAAGCCTCATGCAGTCATAGGTGGGACCTTTTCAAAGGTCAACCGTATGTGACTGATTCATGCTGTAAAGCTAGGATTAAGGTGCTAGAATTAAAGGTGGGTGATTACTAAATCAGCCCACTGATTGATTTGGCACCAACCTAATCCCAGACACAGTGCAAGGGGCAGGAAGAGGGTTGTTTTGCTTTTTATTTGCTTTGTTGCCTTCTGCCCATCATGAACTGTTTCCTCTCCTCAATGCCTGCCTACCATGTGCCAGCCTGCCTTGGAGTATCATGCCTCTCTGCTTATGATCTAAAACCTAAACCTTTCCCCCTTTAACTTTGGGTATTGGGTCATTTGTCTCAGCAATGAAAGGAAAGTATCTAAGACATTTACATAGCCTGTCTTGGATGACTGTCCTTTGAATATCAATAGTCACTTCTGAAGATGTCAAATCTGTGTTTCTTAAAACTTTGTTTGCCCGCATCTTTTTATTTAGTTGGGATAAAAGGGTTAAAATATTTCTTCTAATAAAAAGCTAATTACTGGCAACAGTATTACTCTAATGCAAAAATAAATCTGTAGTACTGGACTTGCCTTTTTTGTTAAATTTCAGCTGAATGTGCTTCACACTTGTTGGATTCAAGGTTGAACAGCAATACTCATCTTGCTTTATGCTAAGAGCTCAATATTCCCTTTGTAGTCTTGGACTTGAATTAAATAGGACTCTCTTCTGTATCCAGTGACCACTGCAGTTGGTTAGAGCTACTGTAACAGTGGCTTAGGGGACATAGAGTCATTTAACACAGTTCTGGGAGCCCAGGAAGTCCAAACTCAAGGGGCCAGCTGACCTGGTATCTCATGACCACTTACTTCCTGGCTTCTCTAGAGCTTTCTTCTCACTGAGTCCTTATGTAACAAATATCAGAGAATGGAAGCAAATGGCTATATCATATTTTTATTTCATAAAAGAAAATACAAAATTTTATAGCAAAATACTAACAATAACAATAGTTACTCAACACTGTGTATGGTTTTCTTCAATGTACAAGGCATCATTTTGTCAAAAGTATTTTAATATATATGCTAACTTGTTTCATTTATACTACCAGTTTCTCTTAGCTCACTAAATTTACATTAATATATTTGTTTCCTTTTTGTGCAAGTCTCCTTTGTGCTGTCTCCTAGTATAAGACCATGCATCCCAGTGTGAATGCTCCAATTTCATAATTTTATGAGCTCCCTAAAGCCTCATCACACTTTGCTTAGGTGTGCAAAGTATCAGTTTGGGAGGAAAGATTTAGTTTATAACAAATACTAACTCATATCTTCTCCAGTGTAGTCTATGCTTGTCTTTTCTTTTCAATCTCATAGGTATTTCGGTAACTCAGGCCCTTAATGACAGTCTCTTAAATGATGTTCCTATGCATCATTCTTCCTTTCTTGGACATTATGCTCACTGCTTCTAATAATGCCCCAGACACGGTAGCCTCCACAAACTCATGAAGTAAGGGGTTCCAGGTCCTCTCCTCCCCTTTGCAAAGCCTGGACACTGACCTGTGTTGGAGCGCCCGGCTTTCCCATCCCTCCTTAACTGTAATGTGCTACTTTGCTCTGGAGACGCTCTCACCAAGCCAAGCTGCTGCGTCTCCCCTATCATCGCATCTGTCCTCCTTATCTGTATACCGCTCCATGTGTATCTGTTTGTGTCCATCTCAGCTTCTGCATTTTTCTATGGCATCCTGATTAAACAGAATGCTATAAGCAAGAGACATTATGGTAGCTACTGTTGATTTCCTACTGTCTTTTTTTCTGAAATTCAGTGTTGTTTGCATTGCTTTACTCTGCTCAACTTTGTTCTTTTTTGTTTTGGTGCACTTTGTTTTGTTTTATTCTCTTTAAAAGAACAGGATGCTGAGAGCCTTTTCATTTGCCCTGCACTGATGGCAGTGGAAATCATAATATGCTTGTTGGCAATATGTAATTTTCACAGCTACTTCTATTTGTAATGAAAACAGTGATTTTTTTCATACCGTTATCACTATTTGTAGTTACGTACACACACATATTTGTAAGCATCGTTTGATCGTCTGATTCCAAGACTTTAAGCATTATGAAGATGATAACTGAGTCTCTCGTTCATCACTATAGTCCCAGTTTTGGTGCCGTAGTAATTAGGTGCACAGTAAATTAATATAAAACGAATATTGAATCAGTCAGCCAGAAAGAACGATGACATTCTACTTTCAAGTCTCTGTAATGAGCAAGTGGCTATATATTTTTGTTCATATATTTATTCCTGTAATAATTAAGGAAAAATTTGTTTTTCCTTAGGAAAAACAAATATTTTGATACCTTAGACATATTTCCTTGACATTGTCATTTTATAAAATGCTATTACTATTCTATCGTTGTCAACTAATTTAAAAAACATGTAAAATTTTTCATTCATCTTTCAGCTTGGTGATGTTGATGTTACTTCTTTGTTTGATTTAGTGTGTGTTCATTTCACATATTGATTATTGCTTGAAAGGTACAAGACAGGCAGGTGTAACTTTAGAATTGTGGTTAGAAAAGAAGGCACATCTTCCTAATATTAAATGGTGAATACTGACCAACCAAAATTATATTTCAGAGCGTAAATTTCATTAACTTTCTTCAAGATTCTGTTATTTTCTGTTGGCTTTATAAAGCTGCATACAAAACATTTTTCTTCCATTCTGTGCTGTTTATGGCCAGATCCTATTACTATACAACAGTGTAATTTGGTAGTTTGCTCTTCAATTCAGTCTATAACGCACCCAGAAATGTTTGAAAGGTTGAAGCTAGAATCTTCTCGAAAAGGCTACGCGTCCTCTTGCAAACATAGGGAAGAGGACAAATGGACAAAAGGGAAAGAAAAGCAGTCCCCCAGGGAGCAGTACCCGAGCTCACCTCCTGGTCTCACTGAAATTGATAACGGAGATGCTACTATAACACAATGTGATTTTTATTCTGAGACTGGTCCTGAGTTGAATATGGGAGTTAACCTGTTAAGGTTTAATGAAGTCTTTTGAGGCTGAAAATATTATAAAATAAGTGATCAAATTCCCCCACACAGCCCTTGAGGACAGCTGTGGTGAGGAGAAGGCTGCTGGAGCTGTGATTCGGTGTCTTGCACTCCAGTGAGGGGCTTGACCTCTCTGCACCTCAGCAGTCCTAGCAGCAGTGCCTGCAGCCCAGGAGCCGTGGTGGGAGGCTGAGAGGCACGTGAGTCATGCCTGTGCGTGCACGCCCAGCCAGGGCACCTGGATGCTGACCATTGCTCGGAGATGTTTCCACAGTGACTATACTGATACGGATTTCAGGACCTGGTTACACGCATTCCAAACAAAAACTACAGTTAAATAAATCTCATACTTTTAAAAAAGCAGTGCGCCTGAGTTAAAGATACTGTGGGATTCATAATTCTTCCAAGGACCAGTCACTTTCTACCATGTGTCTCGTGTTCTGCAAAACATAATACTGAGAAAAAGCCATTTTTTTTGCAATTTGACTATTATTATGTTTATATTTTCGGTTTCACTGAGCTTGTTTTTTTTATGTTTCTTTTTTTAAAATTTGATATAATTCTCACTTTAGAAGAAAGCTGTATACCAGACTCATTAGCCTTCAAATGATGGCTGAGACATGGGACAAGGTAATTTTAGTGCTACAGTTTGGTTACATACTGTCTGCAGTGATTTTTGTTTCTGGAGAGGATGTGAACGACTCTCAGTCACTATTCTATGAGTGCTCAGAACCTTCTGCTTTTTTCTGTCAAACGTAGGTCATGGGAACAGTTCCCTAGTTTATGTTTAGATTGCTGCTTGTTCACTTATTTCTTTTTTTAGCATTTTAAAGCTTTTTTTTACAGTTTCCCTCCTACTGTTTTGTTTGGCAGAGAGCTTCTAATTCAAACAGCGAAAAGAAAAGTTCCACAGTAGCAGGGTGCCATATAAAACAGTATCCCACACCTATAACCTAAATGGCCAGAGATGATAAAATACCTGCCATTAAAAAGTACATGTTCTTTACAACTTATCTGGAAAAAAGTTTTCCTTAGAGTGACATGTAACATAAGAACTTTTGAAATGAGTCCACGTAGAACTTTGCTTAGATGGAACATACAATAGCAGCAGAAAGAAACCTTTATAAAAATA